TGTTAATGCGTGATGTAGTGCCACTCCAATCGAATATCATAGGTGACTGCATGTCATCGAATTGGAGTTGATATGGCTGTTCCTTAAGACTCCGGGTAGGCAGTCACTATCAGACAATAGATTATGTGTTTGGTTGTGAGAGGATTGACAACATCGGTTGGTGACAACATCTAGCATGAAAATGCGCATTGTGTTTTACACTGTTGACACAGTCTGATGTGTTTCAATAACTCATGTTGTTTCAAGTGTTCAGGATGATTTCCAAATAAGATACTGAATATTATTCTATGCAATTTAGAGTAGATGAGAAAATCAGATGTTCAACATGCATGGAAAATGAATCAGGAAGTTTACACAAAAAACAAATATTGAAAATTCCAGAAAATATGACGAAGTCTACAAATATGGAAAACAACTCATAACCAAAATTTGGGATAAAAGATGACTGGTGGAATTGGGGAAAAGGAGTTCAGTAATGACTGATACGACATACTTACAATACTGATGACTGTTGAACTGGATAAGTTTTACACAGGACTGCCGCAATAACAGTGGATGAGGTTTACAGATAAAACCTGAAAATGCTCAGAACCTATCTCGTTTAAATGAGTGAATGTCCGCTTACTTCAGGCTTCTTCGTTCATTATCTTCTTTATTACCACTCCATCTGTTCGTTTTCTTATGTTACACCTCCACTTTTTATGTTAACGACTCTGGTTAAAAACGAACGACAGTAAGTTGTGGGTCTTTTCTTCCTTGTTTAGTGGTATTCTTCGAAAAGGTAAATCTGTAGTCTTGAGGAGACATTCGCCTCCCCAGACTATAGAATAATTCATTTGTAAATTGATATTAATACTACATAAAATATCTTCAGAATGGAAGACTAAAGCTACTGATAATATGCCAAGATGGAATAAAAATATTTGTGTTGAGACATGATTTAACCTTATGGCCTCTCTGAAACACTTACAGCACTCCACTGGTATTTTCAAAGTGAAACGGTTGACCTAGTCAGTGTCTAAACTTTCTGTTAAGCAAATATCAATTTACAAGTCTGGGTAATATTGAGAAATCTGTCCATGGAGTACATATAACGAAAGAGATCAGGTGATCCAGTCTAAAAACCCTATGTGGAAGTTATCGTCCTAAAGGAATAACAATAAATCATACTCATCACAAGCGTCAGTGACATAGCGGTTAGGACGCTTGCCGACCATACACATGGTCCGGAATTCGATCCCTGGCCGACGCACTCCTTTACCTCGCTAAGCCAGAAATACTGCTGGTAAAGAGGAAAAGGTTAGGCATGAGGCTAGCAACCCCATCCTGTAAAATAAACATTGCTACAGAAACCTCAAGCCACTAGCTTGGAGCCCTATGTTCCACTGGGGAACGTGAAGGAAAAAAAATACTCATCACACAAGAGGTGTAGCTCATGGTCGATTAATTGTCCTGCTAAATAATGTTTGGAAATATTTATTTCCCCATACGAATTTACACCAAGCAAGAAAGATTAATAAAGCAGGATTGAATGAATTCATAAAATTTCGATAGAACTTTTCAGCTGAATGCTCCACATACAGGGATATACATATACTGTTAGAAATACACTGGGAAATATAAAACTGATAAGCAAATAAACTACATTGAATTAATCATGCAACATGACACGTGTGAATGTGTTTCAACACTTTGACACTTCAAACTGCGTATATGAAATTGATGAGTGTATTTGTGGAAGCAAATGCATAGGTCATACTCAAATGCGATTGCCTACTCGCATGATAGAGCATTTGCCAAAGTGGTTGAAAACAGCTGAAGTTCAATAGCAAAGCACCTTGTGGACTACGAACATGATATTGACGCTGTCAAGTTATTCACTGTTGTCATCAGACAAAGAAACGGGAAGGTGCTTGCTATTGCAGAGACCTGTGCAATTAGAGTTTTTTTTCTAAACTAGGCTGTCGTGTACGGAAGGAAGTGGTCGTCACTCTGAATCTACCATGGTAATATGTCTCACTTATTAACTGTTATTATTATTAGTAATTTGTTCCACCTCTCATTATTATTCCTGATTCTCAAGTATTGGTTTTTTAAGGATATTGTTTGATTGATTGGACGATTTCATCATGAGCTGACATCAGTTAGAGAACCATTGGGAAACCTGGGAGTACTGGGCAGCCGTTTTGTCCTAGTTTGGGACTCTTCAAGTGAAGGTGAGGCAGTAACTCATCAAAGAAGACATTGTGAAATGGTCGCATTATGTCATGAATTGGCATAAGCTAGAATTCATGAGCCATTGGATCAGGTCCCAGTGGCCTAATGGTCTACGAGCTCGCCCTGTTCCTGATTCATTTAACACTATCTTTTGTCAGTAGCATTATCTTAACTTTTTAGCAACATTTTTAGCATTACTATTATTATCAATATCATTCAGTTCGCAATATATATATATATATATAAATACATATATATATGTTATATATATATGGCCCTGTATGTAGAGTATTCAGCTGAGGAGTCCTAACGAAATTTGACGAATTCATTCAATCCTGCTTTATTAACCTTTCTTGCGTGTTTTAATTAATGTTTCATACTCAATCAGGGCTTTCTCTGGAGAACACCATCACTCATGTCATTACGACCGAGAAACAATCTTTGCTAAAAAAATTCCTCCTATTCCATTTTATATGCTTGTAGCTGCATAGCATTGTGCAATTGTCAGTCTCCTTTCGTTTGAGCTGAATCTGGCGGTCATTATCCTGGGCGAGGTCACTTCCCATTGTTTCACGGCCGTCGTCGCCATTGGTGACATCCTGATAGCCACGACCTCAGTGTGCTCATTCATGGTTGTCTTCTGAGTGACCGAAGTGGATCACTGACTTTCCCGTTGAAAATTTGGAGAGAGCACCACTCCCACCACCACTGCTTTCACATACTCGCAATACTTCAATACTCTATCTCTTCATCTCATTTGCAATCTGGGCAGCTTTGCCAGTCTCATACACAATGCGGACGTTCCATGTCCCAATGCATACTTTTTTCTTTCGTCGCCAGTAGACTGACTCATCGTAATGAAGTTTCTGTACTTTTTTTGATATTTTTTATTACAGCTTGATTCTACACCGTATTCTACACCGCAAGTATGGAATTTTCAGCATGCGATATCGGTAGCCCAAATTTTGCAGGCCAACCTTTGATATCTGGTGTGCGTCGGCAGGGGGCCGGACCTCGGACCATGTGTATGGTCGGTGAGAGTCCTAACTACTGTGCCACCGACGCACAGTTGATATTGATATAATAAATTATAATATTCCATTTTATATGTTAATGTGTATACTTTGATAAATATTAATTATCACTTTTTAGTTACGTTGACAAATTCTCACTCATTCCCTATCGATCATATAAACTTGTCGAACTAAATTATTTCTTGTCATCATTGCGTGTGTGTGTGTGTGTACTGTTAACCTTATAAATTAATATAAATAATTATGTCTGCACGGTGTATTCAGCTGACAAGTCTTCTCGAAATTTATGAATTCACTAAATACTCTTTTTTTCATATTTGTTACTTGTTTTAAATCTAACCACGGGGAAAATCTGTTTTCAGTATACTACTCTTAACTCACCACTGGCTCAGCAATATGCTACAGGTTGATAGACTAAAATATGAATGGACATTTCCTATGAGATAGATACTTCTAACCGGTAGATGAAAACAAATACAGTTCAAACTAACAATCAAGTGGTTGAAGGTTGAGTGCTCATGGCATACTTAGTTGTGGAAAGTTTTTATGTGAACGGGCACATGTTACCATCTAGGTAAAAGGATTACAAGCCGGTCGCTTCACTCCTTCAATTGACCAGAGAACACAGCTGTTTATGCGGACCAATCTCCAATGACTAGGCAGTATGAGAATAAAGGGAAGTAGTGGAGTAGAATTCGAGACATCCGGCTACAGTTTACAAAATCCTTCAAGGTCCCATCTGAGATTCGACCATACTTCACAAAGGGAATGAAACCAAGTGATATCTGCGCATAGCTGAAGTATTGGTGATCCACATATTCAAGCTAACTCTATGTATCAAGAAAGAAGCAAACGCGGCCTTTGGTTTCACGATGGTCATCATAAACAGTCTACTTCCTCAGTAACAACAACAACAAAATATTCACTATCCGACGATATTTCCTACCTATATTTTTCTCACCCCTTAATATATATATATATATATATATATATATATGCAGCCTAGTCGATGGCTTTATCTAAAAGCAAAGTTCCTCTTCGCTGAAACTTTCCTTTTAATTCTACCTGTGATCTAATGGGCGAATTCCTCTGTTTACATTGTCAGCTAACAATGGGGAAAAATAATCAAGAATTCTGTTTCCCTATTGACAGCTGAGTCGGTGATTCACGTCCTAGAATATCTGCCAGTCATCAGCGTGATCTGAAGTTCGATTCCCATCCGACTCACTCTTAAACCTCTGCTAACCTATAATAAACCCGGAGAAAAACACGGAAGGCTGGTCAATGAGGCTAGCAACCTCATCTCGTAAAAACAACACAAGCATTACTGAAATTTCAAAGGCTTGCCTGCAGCCGTGGTGTGTTCCACTCGAATTGAAATGGAATGAAAAACAGTTGGTAATTAATAGAAGCTGATCAATTACGAATGTACATCAGGCTAATGGAAGACATGGCTTATCTGTTTAAGCACTTGACTTAGAAGCAATAAGTTTGGGGTTCGAACCTCAATCAAGCTACTTCAGCATGGGCGACTTGGGTAATATAATGAGCCGTCAGATAATAAGTGGGGATTATGGCCCAGCAACGGATAACTAAGTCTTAACAAAAATTATTATTAAATAATATAATACTGTAGGTTTCAGCTAGATGATACTTAATACTTCGGTGAATTGAAAATAAATTCCAGAAACGATGATGAAATAACTAGCTAGTGTTACCGAACGACTGGCTCACAAAGATACGACTTACCAATGGCATAAAACCGAATTGACAAAAAAATCCAATAACTACAGGAATCGGCCGTTTAAAGTGATCACGCATTGAAGGTACATCTAATTCACAACCCATAGTAAATGTGAATACAGTCACCATAAATATCACAAAAATACGAAATATTAAATGACCGGTTCCTTTGTATTTGACTACAATAACTGGAAAACCCATTGGATTATTCTCATCATCATTGTCATTATTTTGAATAATATTTGATGAAACATTTGAAATATAATTCACTGAAAGACTATTAAAATAATGTTTGCGGAAAGATTCAGAATCATTAGCAAACCATGCGATAGGAACATCATATCCAGGAATTGTATTAGCCTTCCGAATCCAAAATATCAAGTAATCTAAGCCCAATAGTTTTGGCATCATATACACAGTGATATTGATGTTATTCTCTTTCATTGATGGTGGTAACCAATGCCAAGAGCGATTGACTAACTCCACGGATACTGTGAAATCCATATCATACGATAAAGCCAAAGGAACAGGGCTACTGTATTTAACCATACAGGTAACGCGTCTAACAATGTAATCATCTACAAATTCTAAGTCACTTTTTGGAATGCTTATTGTAACATGAATGGATTGACCTTTGTCGAAATATTCATAGGAATACATTGAAAAGTTGGAGGAGGAGGAGTCACCGCCATGCTGAAGACGAAATTTTTCGCGTATCTGTTTAATTTCTTCATCGAATATTAAACCGAATTGTTGTGGGGGTGTTTCTTTGATTGGTAATGCATATAGAGAATGCAAACAACTGATAGCAATAACACCAAATAGTGATGATGACGACCAGGAGTACATCAGCCTGGTAAACATTATGACCACCTCAACATAATGGAGGCATAGATATTAGTTTGTCGCACGAATATAGCCTTAAAGGATGCAAATCTGATAAGCTGGCTGTTCGTCAAAAAAACATGCCTTTTCAAGGTTATAAAAATCACCATATTACATTTTGGCGATTTCGATTGGTCAATATCACACGGTACACTAGTTAAACTAACATATTCATCATAAAAGTCACGGGATGATGTCTATTGGTTAATTTGTCAGGTCATGGAGAGAGAAAAAATATCGATTTGTGGTTTATTCATAATATGGTCATGGCCATTAATACAATTATCTTAGTATTAGCTACTTAATTTCTATTGGATACTTTTATGTGAATAAAAGCATCGAAACGACTGAACGGCTATGATAAACAATTTTCAGGTGTCACCTCTTAGTCATCACGTTCAGTCTACTTTCATGCTTGCCATTGATTTTGTTCAAATGGTAAAATTTGCCTATGATTTTCCTCGCTTTACTAACTATCCATTGCACTTACATTGCAATCACCTCATATTAGTAGAAACGACATTTTTACATTGAATTAATTTGGGGCATAGTGACTAACATTGGTGGAATCCAGGATGCTCATCTCGTCCTATTTGGGACTTGTCACCTGGATGTACTTGCGGCGTTTCCGAGTGACTGATAGTGTTTCCACCAAGACTCGACTCCAGTATCCATTGGTTCAAGCTTCAAAGCGTTATCCACTAGACCACTTGGACCATTTGTGCATCGGCCATCATTTATTATTATCAGACATCGTTGAAGCGTACGTACAAAGAGCCGACATGTTAGATGACGCTGAACATATCGGTCCGATCAATCAACAGGACAATAAAAATTGAACTGACAACAAAGGACATTTTTACATTTCAGAATTCCAGGGTTATTGTATTGCATTCCAGTGGCTGAATGACCAGCCAGGTAGTCCTGTAACCTGATGGTCCTATATTCAATCCCTGGTGGATTCATGGGTGCTCACCGCCAAGGAATTCTGAATAAGGATAACACAGAGCTATCCAGTACTCCGTATTCGTTTTCATTGCTTCTCTAACCAAAGTCAGTTTGTGATTAAACTTAAGATGTTCACATTTGCATTTAGTTGGTCATTGTTTTGTAGTAAGAAGAATTGATATGTAAATTCAACGCCTTAGGTGATTGCTAATAATAAATGTCTTCTTCAAATGTTTCTCTTGAGTATATTCAAATACCTGGGTTTTTCCAGACTGTTCTAAGACTGAATTCAAGGAATAGAGTGATTTGAATTGTTTGCTGGGACATGAAAGTTATCAGTCATTGGTGGAAATCATCAATATTATGTTGTCTTTCACACAGTTTGGCTACAACCTATGAATCTAGGAGACATGTAACCATGGTGCCAGCGTGAAGTCTAGTTAAAAATAGTGTTTTGAAGTGGGTTTTTTTTTCTCTCCATACATATCCAACTATTCACTCAGTATACAGTTCAGTCAACAGAACACTGACACAGTGATATGAAGGACTGTTGTTCGAATTGTTCAACAACCTAAACAGTTAATCCACCAACATTAACCTTCTTTATATACACTTTGTATTTACAGACATTTAATGGGAAATAAATGTAATCCTCATGTGGTCGATTTTCGTCACATAACTTAAAGAAGTTGGGTAATCGTGTTCAGTTAAAACAGTTCTAACAGCAGTCAGTCCAAGGTATCGTCTTCTTTTCAGTCCATAGACATAAATCAGCTATTCAGGAGCTGAATGGTGATTTTATATCTTTACCCCTCAAAGGTGACGTTCTCACGTTGTTATTAAATTTAACAGCTTCGATAAATACATATACAGCTGCGGGTTGTCTTAAGTTATTACTATTCACTCAAGTTCCCAGGAGAACATAGGGCTTCAACCGCACACCTCCAGTTCATCCTGTTTTCTACAGTAGTCTTTAGCTGGCTGCACGATTATCCACCGCTTCTCACTTCGTCCTCACACCCTCGAACCAACGTCCAACTAATCATTTCCCATTTAGGTTCCACTCTAAGGCATGACATGTGATATTACTCAACAGCCTCTTCAGTGCGTGACTGACTCATTTCCATTTTATTAGGCATATTTATTGAGCAGTTGGATCCTGGTTACAGGATTTCCTTATGAGCTGGCGCCGGGTTCAGGGTGATCAAGAATGCTCTGACCCCGGGTGGAGGCTCACCATTGCACCTCGGTGGGTTGAAACTCGCGACGGACCCTAATCGGGTGAGCTCGGGCGTGTACTTTTTGTCAGTGGGGAGGCCTCACGGTCCTCCCTTTATACGTCGGTGGCACAGTGGTTAGGACTCCCGCTGACCATGCACATGGTCCGGGGTTCGATCACCTGACGACGCACACCCGATATCTATGGTCGGCCTGCAAAATTTGGGCTACCGATATCCATGCTGAAAATTCCATACTCTTACCAAAAGTACTGTGTGGAATCAAGTTGTAACCAAAAAAAAATTGTTTAGAGAACCGTTAGGAAACCAGCCGGGAGTACTGAACAACTGTTTCGTCCTAGTGTGTCTCTTTTCATCAATAAGCACCCACTACAGGGATTCGAACCTGGGACCTACAGGTTACAAGGAGAGCTCGTAGGCCATTAATCAAATCCCTGTAAACCAACAGTTGAACAGGAATTAGTTCTTGGTTGGTTTATTGCGAAGGTAGCTTGTTGCAAATCCTTCCCTGACTGGGAGTCTAGTTTTCAGTGTGAAGCTAAGGCATCTATCTGTTGATAAAAGTCTGAAGCCTGTTCAAAATGCTTTTTAGTGATACGCTAAGTTGGTGATATACTTGTTTTAAAACATTTATTGTTAATTTTTAACAAGTAGATAACACATTTTTCTTTGTTTTTTACTGACTGAAATAAAACTGCAATAATTGTTGAAGATGTTAATTTCTCAAAGCAATGATGATCACAAGGGATGAGTAAAAAGGGAAAAGATTAACTCTAGTGACATCATTGCCACAGTCTTAACACTCTACATACTACAAATCAAATGTAAAACACCCTTCGCATCATTTCCCACCCCCATCCCCCGTGAGTCTATCGAAGTTGTTTCAGGTAAGTGGTGAGACAAACTACACAGAAGCTCACTGAAGATCAGGAACTTTTAACTCATAATAGTAATACTAATATCTTTATTCTGAACAGTATTTATAAAATGTACAGAATCTTCAGAGGAGTTTATTGCATGATATTCTCTCCCTTGCCACAATATCTTCAAGTAAAATATTAATTGACGCAATGGTCTCTGAGTAGAAGCATAAACCATTCCATTATGATATATCTGCTTTGTCTCCTTCAAGAAATCCACCCACGATATCTAATTGAAAGCCAATTGTAAGATGTTCAGAAGTACATTTTGAGCTCTAATGACATAACTGAGGAACAGTTTTCTTTCATGTGCTGGAACACACTGCTACCCACAATCAGGCCTTTTCTCAAGTTTAATAGGAACTTGCAAATCAGAAGCTTGTAAACACATTAAATACGCACAAGAGTAGATAATGCTATTAGAGGTCATATCTTAATTGATTAAAACAAAGCGAACGAGAGAAAATATGTGTAACAGTGAGATGGAAGTTTTTGGCAGCCTAATTTATAAACAAGCCACCTTTATATCAAGAAGTGAGCCCAAAGAAATCAACTTGATTTCTACTAACTTCGAAAAACATTGACGGATTTCCTAGTTTTGACGTTTATTAGTGAAACGAAACCTATTTAACGATCAAAAATTGCTTCAATAATCATAATAATAGTGATCTATTTATTCTTGTTTATGCAGGGAAACACCAATTGTACAGGCAAATACAAGTATTACATAAATTTGCTTTATGGTTACTGTTCTTTTTGACTTTAGTTTGTGGGAATAATCTGCTAACTAGTCAGACAATGTAGCATATCACGAAATATAGAAGTATTGTCTTCGCGTTAACAAGAGAAACCAGGTCTGTTTTGGATGGATCACAAACAGCTAGTAAAACAATTGTCCCCCAGATAACTTTGCTGTGTATGGCATCGAATCCTATTCTTGATTTATAGTCACATGGTTTATTAATTTAAAATGAGTAATACATTTGCATAATATTCTCAGCATTACTATTGTAGGGTAACATCAGAAGTGAATGGTACTCCATGTAGATGAATATTGGTCATAGCCAGGCGGTCTTGTTTTACTGCCCCGGGGTCAGTCGGCATTTGTAGCTAAGTTGAGTTCTGTACGAGTAAGCTGATTAAGATGTAGGGAACTGTTTGGAAACCAGTTGCATCTTCATTTTAGATCATGAATACTGCTCGTACAGAATGTTATTCAGCGTCCTGATATGGTGACACGGGAGTTTTTTTCCAATAGCTTGAAGAATGATGTGGTATATTTACGTAAGTGACTTCAGGTTCTATTTAACTTTTCAGTCTTACTGTAGGTCTGTGCAACTTACGCTACAAGGTAAACAGAAGAGGAGAGGCAAGCTGCAAAGTACCAGAGAGGAGAGAAAAAGTATGTGGATATAAATAGAACTTTAGTGTCTGTGTATTTACATGTTTACATTTATTGTACATTGCTGTCTCGTAAACATTTAGATTGATATTCTCTTCGTCTTTTGATACATTCATGCAGTTAATCTGTTTATCGTTTATGCAGAGTAACTGGTGAAGTTTTACGCGCTCTTTAGGTACTATAGTAAACTAATAGTTGATTCGTTCTAGGAATAAAGAGTTTGTTAATGTAATTAGTTGAATAAAACATTCTATATAGAGAGCGTCTGAAGCTTGTACCCAAGGTGTAGGGGCAAACTGTTCTATATTTTAGAATGCATGACTGTAAAGAAGTTTTCGCTGAGTGGGGCGATTCAAGAGCTTTCATTGTCACTGTGCATTTTTGGTTACGCATTTTGTAAGAGCCTTGAGGTATGAACTGTATGTTCTTATCGTCTGAGTATGATATTTTGTGTAGGACCTTAAAGAAGAATATTAGGTTTATAATAAATCGCCTCGTCTAAAGTGGGTCAAATTTCGAGTCATATACCGTGAAATGTAGTCTTTCTTACAATCGTA